AAAAAATAGCTTTGCATGCTGACATTTTGGTTGCATAAGTGGCTTTATGACTTTGGACAAGTACTTCTGGATGTACCTTCATAGGATGTATAAAGTCTGAACATTAAGCATTATCTTTTTTATAGACATCTTGCCTCATCTTGGCTGTTTTAGAAACTCTTTGAGGGCAGGCACTGCCTCCCCGGCTGTTGGTGAGCTCCAGGATGTTCAGGAAAGTGCAAACTAGGGACCGGGAGGGTACTGCACTGGCTGGAACATATGCCCGAGAGTCTGACTGCCTGGGATTATTGCATCCGTAGCTGAGAGAAATTAGACGGGCTTATTTAACCCTGCTGGATCTTCACTGCATGTGGGGAATCACAGAAATATCTCAAGGGGTTATTGTGAGCATCAAAGAAGGAAATATACACAAGGAGCTTAGTGTCATGCCTGGCACACGGTAAATGGTCAGAAAATGTTTTCTGATTGGTCTCATGTGCATTATCTGTAATGCCAAATCATTTAGGGCTGCCCAGTACACTACAGTTCTAGAAACACATAACTGAAATCAGCAAAGACCTCTCAACTCAGCTAGCTGAATCTAGTTATGTAAGTATCATTTCCAAATGATGTTTAGTTTACAAATAACATTTAGAAAAACTTGTGGTTTGGGCTAAAGTTTACAGAGCAAATTAGTTTCCTATTCGACAATTTAGACTCCTTTGTTTCGTAACAGTAGTTGCAATTCCCTCAACGTTAACGGGACCCTTTTCCTCTTCCTCCTTGGGTCCCCATTCCCATGTGTCCTTCTTCTCTGCCTTCTGAGCTTTGTCCTGGTCTCTTATAGTTAACTGTTCTGAGAAGTATATTCCTTGTGACTGATAATGTTCACTTTATAGGCCTGTCTATTGTTTGGCTGAACGGTGTTCCCCAGTGCAGTGGGTTCAGCTCCACATTTGAGAGATGTCTAGGAGCCACAATCTCAGGGAGTCTACTCGTCTCGATCAGATCAATAAGTCTAGCCTTTTGGTATGACTGTGAATTTTGTTCTACATCATTCCCCTCATTTTATCCAGGACCGTTGGTGGTCCCAACCAGAGAAGTTGGGAGTGATAGTCGGGCACCATCTTGCTCTTCTAGTCTCTGTGCAATGGGGGCTGTGTTTTACGATTCCCTGGGACTACTTGCTTCCCAGAGTGTTTGATTTTCTTCATTCTTTATTCCAGACGGGGAGAGACCAATAGTTACATCTTAGATGGTCTCGTGTGAGCTTTTAAGACCCCGGTCGCTACTCACCACAGTAAGATGTCGAACACCGTCTGTGTGAACTATTAGATAGCATTGTTTTATTGTTTATGAAGCAGCATGGGGGGATAGCTCTTACTCTAAAGCCATCAGTCACATTCTCACATTTGTTCTAGAAGTGGTCAATTCGTGGTCATTTTTGCGGCTCTGAAAAGGGGACCTCTCCCTGCTTCCAGCTCTGGCCTTCACATCTGGGGCTCCCTGGACCCAGTGCTGCTCCCGCCTCATTTCTGCCTGGTTGTTTCCCCGCATTTAATGACTTTCAGAAGGACCAGGGTTCAGGGATGTTTATGCTTCCTGATGTATGCTGGGTGGGCAGTAAGTAAAGAGAGAGTCCTCGTCTGGATTTTCCATCAGGAAAGGGAGTAGATGTTTTCACAATGTTCATAGGTTTTCATGTGCACACACATGCACAGAGTTGGCCTTCTACACGGGCACTTGTGTAGATGCCAGTGGTATGCTGGGAAATGCTAGACACTGGTCCACTGAGGCGTGGGGGGATGGGGAAGCCCTGACTTGTAACACCTGCCACTTTCTATGGTATAACTACTCCCACCATGGCTGGTTTCAAACGACAAACTTTTCACCGTGATCGTCAACTTGGAAAGTGATGTGCAGTAGAAGCACAGCATTCTGTAGATACAACCGATGCAAGTGGCCCCAACAGCATGGATACTAGTAAAATGTACAGGTATTAGTAAATGAGAAATTTTGAGTATTTATCATCTTTGTTTTGAATATGATCTACTGATCTGTAAGTTTATATGATTTGATCCCTAATAACAGCTGTGCCGAACAGCTGGCTCACCAAATTCTTGAGACGCTGACAGTTGGCTGCTATGATCTGGAATGAGCTGGCTTCTCTTTTAACCGATGCCTCTTATTCCACCAGGACTTTTTAAACAGATTTCCCTGGGTATGCGGCTACTCACACATACCACTGCCCATAACGGCTCTATAGGATAGTGTAGAATTTGCCTTCTCCGGGTTTCTGAGACTTTTAAACTTTATGGGAGTAGAAGGCCTCATCTTTCTCTGGAAGAGCACCTGGTAGGCTAGAACCATCGACGTTGTGGTTAGTAACCCCTTGCGGAACCCCCTATGCCACATAGGGACACACTCACCTGTAAATATATATGGGGCGATTTCTCTTGCTCAGCCCTGCTCACACCCTAGCCACCGCCAAACGCTTACACTCCCAGGGAAACTTCGGAACACTTAGGCAGGAGAAAGAAACAACCACAGAGGAATGGCTGAAATGAGGGGCTGGGAGAATGAAGGCAAGGGGTAGGGAAAAAGCGACCAACTGGGGTGGGGAGCCAGTGGCAGATGCCGAAAACGGAAGGAGGAAATTCCATGGTGAGTCTCTGCTCCATTCCCACTCCTGGGGTCAAAGTCACAGACCATCAAGGGATGCAAGCACAGGAGTCGCTGTCTTGTCAGCCGCAGCGGCCAGAAGGTTGAGAGCTCACGCAGGAAACAGCGCTGGAAATCATCTGTGGCTTGGGGAGACCTTTCTGTCTGAAACGCAGTCCCCGGGGACACACTGAGCATTGGCGGTCCCAAATCCCTGGCAGACAACCTCCTGCGGAGTTAGGACAGCGACCTGGCATGTCATCTCACAATGGCAGCTGGGAGATGTTAACACGTCTTCTCTAATTGGGATAGTATGCTCTTCGAATAAATAGGTATTCCAAATGCTCTTAATTAGACTCCCAACCAAAGTGCGTTCTGTTTGAAGTTAGCTGATTACCCCAGGCAAAGCCAGGGCGCCACTGAACCCGGCACCTGCTGTAATCCGGAAGAAGGCTCCGGGCTCCTGGTGGGATGTGCTCAGAATGTCAGGAGGCCCGGCTAACGGAATCCAGGCTGCGGACAAAAGTGCCTGCTTCAGAGTGGCGTGGTCCTCAAGGGATGTGGTCTGGAAAATGTCTGTGTGCCCAAGTGCTGTTGACGGAAGAGACAGCGCAGTCTTCCAAGCGGCCAATGAGGGTCTGCTCCAGCAGACGGATGAGCCCCCAGGGAGGCTAGGGAGCTGGGGGCAGAAGGGACAGGGTGTTTCTTGCCCCGGAAGCTTATGGAAATGACTTCTCAGTTCCCAGATTAAAAAAAATCAGGCCTGGAGTGATATTTGGTCCCAGTCTTGTTTCTAGTCAGCCAGCACCATGAAGGCGGGGGAAGAAGCCAGATGTCCAGGACCGTGGGGTGACGACTTCACAGTGCATGCCCTGCCCAGAGTGAGCTGGTGGAACCCCTTGAAGGGCTGGAAGAGAGGTCCCCTTGGCACAGCTTTGCAATAGAGGCCACTCTCCCTTCCAGGCCTGTGAGTGAAGGGCCGGGGGACACCGGCTCTTTGCCGGAGAAGGCACACTGCAGTGTTTCAGCTCTGAGTGTGGACCTGGGTCTTTGGCAATCGAGGGGGAAGACCTGGTGAATTCACCTCCTCTCTCATTTCTGGGAACACCAGTCAGTGTGTCTTGGGATTCCTCAGTCTATGTTTCTGAGGTTACCAACAGTTACTTTTATACGATCCTTATTATGATGGACGCCAAACAACCAACTTTCCTAAGAGCCCACGCAAGGGTCAGATGAATCATCCCTGAGAGGTGATTTCCCCGCTCTTGGCCCTGGGTGCTGGCTTTCTTCCATGACAGGTCACTGCGGGGGCCAGGCCATCTTCAGAGGAACCCCCTCTGTTTGGGCTATATGAGTTTCTTATTTCATCAAATCTCTCCAAGTGGCCCTGAGCTGGCTGCAGAGGGATCAAGGTGGCTCTCCTCAGGATGCCTACTCCACTAACCTTCCTGGGAACTGTGTCCTCCCAAGAGACTCCATTAGACCACATGCCAAACGGCCATGTTTGCTGCAGAGGCCAAGGACCTCCTAGAGCTGACCCTGTTGGTTTAGTGTTTGCATCCCCGAGATCCTGGAGTACATGATGGCTGTGAGCAGCAAAATAGCACTGGTCTAAGAGCACCGCGTTTGGACTCAGAGAGAAATGGCCCTGAGTCTGTTGCAATCCTCACTAGCCCTGTGACCTTGTGCACGCCATGGACTCATTTTCATCTGCGCAGTGCATTTACCCCTTAAGGTTGTCCCTGGGTGGTTCCAATGGTTTAACCTACTTGGGTGCGAATCAAAAGGTTGGAGGTCTGAGTCCAGCTACAGGGACGGCAGAAGAAAGGGTGGTGGTCTGGTTCTGAAAAATCATCTCTTGGAAGCCCTGTGGTAGACAGCTGTACTCTAACATGCATTGGGTCACCAGGGGTTACCATGGACTCATTGGCTACCGTTTCCTCCCACGGGGCTGCATGGGGATCAGAGGAGGTGGTGCACAGCGGCCATTCAGGGGGCCAGCGAAGGGTGCCTGTTGTCATCAGTGAAGTTAAGTTCAGAGTACGGCAGTGAGGGACTTGGGCACAGAGGAGTGAATTCAGATCAGGTGTGGGATGGAAGAGGGCAGGAGGATGAGGTGGCAGCTGGAAGGGTAGGGTGCGAATTGGTGACAGGCAGGCGTGAGCAGACCGTTTGGGGGAACTGGTCCCACACAGAGGTGGGGAATCTAAGGCGGCCTGTTCCGATAGCATGCTGGACTGTCCTTAAGCTCTCCCTCCGAGTTTCAAATGGATTCCCTTTGATCAGCACTTGAATATCCACGAGCAAGTGAGCTTGTAATACTTTTACCTCCTTCCTCGCAGACTGCATGCTGTACCCACCTAGATCCATTTGCTGCATGTGCCCCTGGGCGATCTCTTCCTTCAGGTGGCCTGGCAAAGACACAAAAGGAAACCACCCATCAGGCCCCGAGGGGCTGGAGGAAAACATCAGCCTAGGAAGGTGCTGAAAAGAGAAAAATAAGTCAGGCAGAGTAAGGGGAGAAGAGAAGGGAGACCTCAAAGACAGGGAGACGGGAGGGGACAGACATATTGATGCCAATGTACATGTCTTTATATTTTAAAAACATTTTCATTTGTTAATTTATTTATTCTTTTATTGGGGTGGGGGCTCTTAAAAATCTGATGTCAATCCATCACTCAATTGTATGAAGCACACTTGTGCATATGTTGCCACCAACATCTCCAAAACATTTTCTTTCGACTTGAGCCCTTGGGCAAAGACACATTTCATCTCTGGAGTCAGCGATCTCGGTTCCCGCCTCTTCTGTGCTGGTCGGTCCCTGGGCAGTGCTGGAGTACTAGCAGAGATGTCGCTGCTTCACACCCACTCATTTCTGGTGACCTGCTTCGGGGAATCACAGTCTTGAGCCCTATGGGGCAGGGCTACTGCCCACATGGGGCTGTGATGGGGTGGGCGGAGCTGTGCAGCAATGAGCAATGAGGACAACAGTCCCTCGTACTCCTTGGGAGAGTGCTCGTCTCTTAAACAGCGCTATCTGTCTCTTACTAGTTAAAGGGAGGCAGTTTGGATTTTTTTTCCCCCTAATTTGCAGGGTCACTTCTTTTTTTTAATAGTTCTACTCTGACAGACATGGGGTCACCATGAGCTTGGGTCAACTTGACAGCGACTGGTCTAAGAGCTCATATGGCAAAGTGTGTCAAACTGTTCCCAACATCTCATCAATACAGCAATAAAAGCGAGAATATTAATATTTTCATTTTATTATAAAGTATTTTCATTTATGTCTGTTCTTCCCTCCTTGCACAAACTCTTCGTTGTCGTTTAAAACATCTGTCTCTTCCTACTCGCTCTTTTGGCCTTTAATTCGTCTTCACGAGGTTTCTGTGTAACCGGCTCTTTGAACTAAACAATGCCTTGATTTTTGGATCTTTCTGATGTACAATTATAATCAAGAGAGTATACTGTGGTGTAGGCTCTGTTTATTTTATAAAACTTTTTCTTATATGATACTGTTATCATTCTCATCCAGTCACATTAAAATAATAAAGTTCTACTTTTGCACACAATTCTGCATGTGTATACACACATACACACTGAGATAGTTTATTGTGCCAGCCTGGCCGATAAACACAAGTGGGATTAACTGAAGGGTGGTGAAATAAATGGCTTGGTGCGCCTTGCCTTTCTTGTCTTTGCTCTTTGATCATCAGACCAGTGTGCGGCTGTCTTGCTTGTTCTGTGCCTCAATTTGCAAGCTACACTACCTGTGGGACGCTTAGCCTGCGAACTGTGTCACTGTAAGTTGAGGTCCCTTTAAGACATCTCTGGAGCTGGAGACTGGCGGTTGGTGACCTGGCTGGCAGTTGGTGACCTGCCTTGTGATTGGCTGCTGTGCTGACATAGCCTAGTTCTCT